AATGTGTTCTCGTGTGTTGCTTCAGATGAGATGAGGGATGCTACCAGTTGATCTTTTTGACTTTTAGATGGCCTTGTTATCATATTTTGTGTGGGAACACTACGTTTGGCTGAGGTCCTGTGTATATATTTCGTTGTTGAAGCTCAGCATTTGGTGCGATTCTAGTTGTATTGGCGAGGCATGAGATGTCTCCTAGCCAGTGAGGAGAGCTGCCAGAGACAGCTGTACATTGTGCAAACAATTGCTCTACAGTCCCGTGCAGAGATGTTGAAGAAGGCGGCTGTCCTCACAGTCTCTCCCAACGAGGTCCAGCAACTGGTGTACATTTTTAGCTCACCTTGACATCGTCAAGATGAGCTATTGCCATGGGGCGTCGTACGTCCGTCCGTCCGTCCGTCAACATTTGGCTACGGTCAACGATAACTTGAGAACCGTTTGACCCACATGTTTCAAATTGCATACAGTTGTTACTCCTATGGGAGAGATGTGAACGCATGTGTCACCTTTTTTTGCCTAACAGATTTCTTAAAATGTGTAACCATAACCCCATAATCAAGAAATTGAAATGAATTGATTAATTCACTTGTGTAAACATGCAAAGCATGTTCGTTTATATCTATAGAATGTTCATGATAATTGAAGTATTGATCATCTTTTTTTACTAAAAGTAAATAGCCTAAATCCAGCTTAAACTTAACCCTAACCTAACGTTTAGCCACTATGAATGAACATGGGTCTGATTTTAGGATTGACCATCGCAGACTATTGAAATTGCTGCTAGGTCAAGTATACATTAGTACGGAAGCCGCCTAGTGCCGGCGCCGTCACGTTTTTCGTTGTAGTCGTCGTCGTCATCATTACTCGCCCTGACAAGGCTAAAACACAGCACCGCTAGCGAGCGAAAACATGGCGGTGGCGGCGAGCGAGCGGAATCGGCGCGGTCGCCTTTTTCGTAGCCGGCGCTGTCACCTTTTTCGCACCGCGAGCGAGCGAAAACACGGTGGGGCGGCGAGCGAGCAGAATCGGCGCGGTCGCCTTTTTCGCAGCCGGCGCGGTCACCTTTTTCGCACCGCGAGCGAGCGAAAACATGGCGGTGGCGGCGAGCGAGCGGAATCGGCGCGGTCGCCTTTTTCGTAGCCGGCGCCGTCACGTTTTTCGCATTTGTCGTCGTCACGTTTTTCGTCGTCGTCGTCGTTTTTGCCGTCGTTGTAGACTTTACCAACGCATTAACCATAGTAAAAGACTAAATAGTGGAATCTGCTCAGACATAATTTTTTATTCACCCGCCCCCCTCCTTCGCATGCCTCCCGGGTGTGTCACCGTAGTCACAACTACTATAGTCAGGAGTACACAGAGGAACAAGTGTACCAAACACTACAGTCGTCGTTTTTGTCGACGTCGTAATCATCCATTTTTTGTCGACGTTGTCGTGACCGCTCTTTGTCGCGGCTGCCGTTGTCGCCGTTGTTTGTCGGCGTTGTCGGCGTTGTAAGCGTCGCCATCATCATTTTTAGTCGCCTAACCCTATCGTTGTAAACAAACGATAGCTGCTAAGATGCAAGGAACGGGTCTGAAACTAGTGACACGCCCACAAATGTTTTGCATAACGTGACCTAAACCTTTTCCAGGAATGCTTCTAGACACTGTTCCAGTGGCACTTAATCTGTGACCAGCGATCCCACGACACCTTCTTTTATTCATAATTCGATTCTCATTACTGTTTTTCGTTTTCTGTCAACGGTGTTCTGCAGAGTGTACGTTTCCACACAAGATGCCTCGTGCGATGCAGACTGTAAGTACTTTTATTAAAATTCATAATGCATTTAATTATAGGAGTATATTATAGGTTATTTGGTTATAGTAATAGATTTATATGACAAGTAGAAAGGTACAATAAATGTATCATAAGCATCGACGCCTTTAGCTGTTGGTTTTATTTCCGACAAGTAGCTCGACAACGTTCATACGAGTCCGATAGTTAGGTGACTTTCTCTGGTAATTAGATATCGGCAGAAAGTTAAATAACATACTAGTGACAATAGTGACTCTCATAATGCGATTCGCACATCCATAATCGTTAAAATACACCCCGCTCACTATCGCACGGCGAGTGCTCTATGTTCCGACTATGTCCCACTTCCCCCTCTTCTACCTCCACCCTCAATCTTCCCATCCTCCTACCTCCTCCATCCAACCTCCCTTCCTCTAAACCTCCTCCCTCGCACCTTCTCCTGCGCTCGCACCTTCTCCCCTCCCACTTCTTCCATCCTCCTCTACCTCCTCGCCTCCACCACTTCTCCTCCTCCTCTACCTCCTCCTCCACCTCTCCTCCCTCCTACACCTTCTCCTCATGCGCACCTTCTGACCTCTACCTTCCTCCCCCACCGCTCTCTCTACGTCCATACCTCCACCCTTCTCCTGCCTACCTCTCCTCCACCTTCTTCTCCTTACTATTCTCCGCCTGCTCTGTTGATTTATATTCAGTAGCTGCCATCTATTGTAGGTGGTAATCTGTGTGAGATCTCGGGTTATCACGTCCAGGAGTAGTAGACTAGTGATCGGAAGACGGCAATAACTGAACTCACGCGTATAGAGAGAATAACGATGATATCTACTAAAGAAAAGGATATAGATATAGATTTACACATAAATATACGGTCAAGCAACGGGAGCAGCCATATTGATCATACTGGCTGGCTAGCCGCCTGTCGGCAAAAAACGAGGAATTATTCATTTGGGAATAAGAGTTTACCCGGCGATGAGCGCAAATAGCCGTAGCGCGCACGGCGTTAACAATGTGAGTTCCTAACCAATGAGTCAACCAGCGGTACGGGCCGGTAGCCGATTTGCGCAACGCCTAGGCGGGGGGGTGCTGCTAGCTGGGTATAAAAGGAGGCAAAGAACTCGGCAAGCTAGAGGGAGTCTTTAGGTTCACAGTCGGCCCCAGGGGAGAAGCACAGAAGAAGGAGAAGAAGGACGAAGACGAAGGAAGGAAGGAAAGAGAAGCAGTCGAACGGGAGGAGAAAGCCGAGAGAGTTGTATTTTCAGGGATAGGTTGTAGGTAGGCAAGGCGAGAGAGGGAAGGAAGGACAGAGAGAGAGCGATAAACGCACGGTTTTTCAGGTAAGGTGTAAGCGCAGAGGCCAAACGGAGAGGGAGAATAAAAACGGCGAAGAAGCGGCATTCTGGTAGAGCTGGGAGGCGAACGGGCGGCGGAGACAGCCTGCGAAGACTGTGTGGATGCGCACGCAAGGCGAGGACGAAACGTGAGGGAAGGAAGACGGAGCTGGCGACGTGTAGATATAGACGAGATCAATGAAAACTGTTAAAAGTCCGCTGATATACGAATGCAGGGGAATCATTTGTAGCGCTTCGTAACACGAATGAAAAGGCTATATAGGCCGTATCGTTAAGCCGCATTTCAACCGTGTTAATGTTCATGCTGGTACGACCTGTTATCTGCTACGGCTCATCGCCCGTCCTGGCGCTTAATAGATCCGGACAGGACGGACACTGATCCACTACTGGACACGCGTTACTACCTAACGCTCTGTCGAAACGCGTAGTCGTCTACCCTAGGGCACCTACAGGTAAAATGGGCGCTCGTCCCGGATCGTTCGCATGCAAGGAGTAGCGCGTAGCAAGCGTACCAAGTGATACAGACGGATTAGTGAACAGAGGATAAATATGTCGAGTTTCATACAGAGATAACGGGAATTTCTGACGCCCACGCGGATCGATGGAGCGACGGGAAGGCATGCAAGGGGCCAGCGAAGGCTGATGACTCATCGATCACAGCTTGCGTGAACGAGGAGGTGTGACGTCCATTCTTTTCAGAAGGGGACAGGGACCGACAACCCTGCTACGATGGCGTATCACCCGGAGGAGGCTGCTAGGACAGGAAAGATATTTCCAGCGAGGCAGCCAGGGATGATAGAGAAGACGACAAGATGGAGAGGAGATTGCCGCGAAAGCTGGAAGAATTGAACAGAATAGGGCCAGAGATTACACACACGGCCCACCCCACGCTGGAGTAAGCCGGAAAGCATACAGAGAGACTGGGACGCCCGACCCGACAGTATAGCAGCGGCTTGTTGGCAGCAGAGAACGGCCACAGAATACTGATTTCGGGCACAGACTATGAGGAAAAAGAAATCTTACAGGCACCTGACAAGAGATCAGGCTACGGTTAGGGATATGCCGTTACACCGGCAGGAGGGGAGTCGATGCGGGAACGCTGCCTGCGCACGTGAGAAAGTCACGTGCGGACAGTTGTACCTGTAAAGGAACGGAGACCTCCGCAAACTTTAGCCGGGAGATGGATGGCATAAAGAATTTCCTGATAAAGTTTGAGATGACGGCTAGTTATCAATCTAGTGGCCGGAGGATGGATGGCGAATTCAGTTAGGATTATGTTGTGGAGGTGAAGCCTCTAGGGTGATGACAGGATGGCCAACGGTCACAGGCGCTGCTTGACTACGCACGGGATGGTTGCCTGTTTGCAACGCAGGTTCGATTCCGGTAGCGCGCATCCACGTTTTCGGAGTGAGCTACGCCGTGAGGACGCAGGCGCTTTGGCGAGACGGCCGGAGGAATTTGCGCGGTCATGCGGCAGGCTGTTTCCAGGCCCTACCCTGGCAGTGATAGGTCATCAGCACGCAGATCTTAATAGATAGGTACTCTGGAGCGGAATAAGGAATGGCCGAAACACAACGCTATCGCAGCTCTGGCCAGGACGCAGGCACGCTAGACGAGCAGTAATCGGGTGCACAGTTCGAGGCGTTACAAGAGGAGACTAAATCGTAGAAAAGAAACTCGCCACCAGGGGGAGAGGCACGTATTATACGAGCTTGCGATGCAACCAAGGGGATCCAGTGTCTGAGTCTACGGGAAGAGATGGCGAGAAGGAATGAGGAAGCCTGAGAC